TCTCTCCTCCTCTCTCTCTCTCTCTCTCTCTCCCTCTCTCAACCTATATCTCATCAACTCATTTCAATATTGTGCAAAAAATTCTTAGGGGGCTAAAAGTTTTACTTTCAAAAATTTAAAATATTAAAATTAGCATTTCTTTTTTTTTATTTTCTCTTTCCTTTTTATTCTTTTCATCAAAATTAAACTTTCTTTAATTTCTAAATTCAAAAAGGAAAGAAAAATAGAAGAAAAGAATTGAAAAGTTTAAAATTATATTATAAAAATAAATTTTTCATTTTATTTCATCCAAATCTTTTTGTTTTTTTTTCATTTATTTATATTTTTGAATGAGAAAAGATTTTCAACAAATATGCAAAAAGTGATTCTAATAGAAATCAAATTTTTCCTTCTCTTTTAAATTTTTTCTTTTTTTTTTCTAAATCACGAACTTTTGATATATTTAATTCATCATATGTATGTGTGGTGTGTGTCTGTGTCTATATCCTTATGTGTGTTCGTGTGTATGTACATGCATATATACAGATATGTATATGTATTATAGATATGTGCGTGTATGTGTTACGTATATATACACAATATTTGTGTGTGTGCATGTTTGCGTGTTGTGCATGTACGCACAAATTGTGCATGTACACATACACACACACATTGTTCATGCACACAATATGTCTGCACACATGTGTGCATGTATGTAAGCGTTGGGTATGTGGTTGCATGTGCATGTATATATATATATATATATATACGGGTGTGTATATGCATGTGAGTGTGTACGTGTTGCATGTACGTACATAATATGTGTGTGGGTGTATGTATAAGAGTATACATTATATATATATATATATATACATATACGCGTGTGTATGTGTATGTGTATGTATGTGGGCGTGTGTGTATGTGTGCATGTATGTGTACCTGTTATGTGTATGTATATGTATGTGTATGGGTGCATGTGTATGGGTTTATGTGTGTATATGTTTGTATATACATTATATATACGTGTATGTGTATGTATGCATGTGTGTATGTGTATCTGTTATGCGTATGTGTGTGTATGTGTTGTAAATTAATTGATTCGAAAAGCTTTACTTCGTAAATTCTTGTTCCTCCTTCATATTTTACTTCAATA